ACAAAGATAAGGGGTTTGCCTCCCTGCCCTTTACACCTAATCCAGCTCTGTGCCAGTCACTTCCCAGCCAATCGTCTCTTGGAATGGATGGATGCACATCAGGCTGGGTCAGCAACATCTGTCTCACTGATCACTGATGCCCTGATCTCCCACCTAAACCTGCTGTCCAATGAATATCTTCTCCCCAGATGGCAACCTGACAACACATCACCTTCCCCTGACTCACAGTGGGCATGGAAGGGTTAGCAACATCTGTCACACCAATCACTGATGCCCTGATTTCCCTCTTGAAGCCTGTATCCAATGAGGTACTTGTTTCCAGGTGGCAGATGTAGCCATCTCATGTATCCCAGTGGAGTCCAGGCATTCCAATGGGGTCGCTATTGCACTGTTTTGGTGTTGTGTTATAGCACTATAGTGGTATAGCACTCTAAAACGAACGTTCCAAAAAAAAAAAGGACAGAGATCGCCTGTGCGGGTGACAAAGAACGGGAAAACAAAGTGGTGCAGGAGGAAGCGCTATGGGGCATTTTACACAGGACCCCGTAGCGCTTCAGAAATGGTACAGAAAAGTGGAAGACCACTTGGAAGCAGTTTGCAGGTAAACGGTTCAGAAACTCTTCCCTAATGGGACAGAAGCGTTTCTGTCTGAAAGTGAAAATATATTCCGGTAGGGAACCGTTACTGTCTGAAATGTCAGACCAGAAACCGTTAGGGAACAGTTCCTGAACCGGAATACATCGGCTGTTTGAAATTCCCCAGTGTTGGACTAGATGGGTCATTGGCCTGATCCAACATTGGCTTCTCTTATCATCTTACATTCTTAAGGTGGGCTTTAAATGAAGTAAATAAATAAAATAAAATCCAGCTATGGATCTCACCCAGTGCCTGGTATGTCCTGACCCACACACTACCCTACACTTGGTACTGCAGGTACACAATTGTCTTGTTAGAACAAGGAACCAACATGTACAGGTAAGTTGGTATCACATGCCCCTGCATTTATCTGAAGATAAGGGGCTTCTTTGCTTATGCTCTCTACCTTGTAAGGTTGATCTGATTTGTGCTTTTGCAGACTATCAAGGAACTGCTGCCATTTACATTTTCATAGAGAAGTAGACATATTTTTGCTTCTTTCTCCCAATATTCTTTGGCACAACCTTAAACTGATTTTGCAACTGGTTCCATCCAATTCCATTTAATATGCAATACCTCCCATATACCATTTTAAAACCTGGACACCCTGCGGAGCTGGGACTTAACTATCACGGCCTGAGTCAATCCTTACCCTTTTCTTTTTGTTATTGATCTGTACTTCCAGCCTGGTGAAGAATTCTGTGGCATTTAAAAGCTTGCTTACTAATTTGGCTTAGTCCATAAAAGGTCTTACATGGTTTTTGACATTTTTTTCCCTGATGGATGACCTGTAATCACCGTGGTTTCAATATGGAAATACAGTGAAGTGAGACTATCTTCAAAACAGGAAATGTTAACTAGAGTTTCTAATATGCACCAGGGGAATCGGAATACTCATTTATTTGGGGAAATATTTAACTCCACACTTTGCTAATCCATGAAAATTTTCTAATATAAAATGTAAAGTAAATGCTTTTCTGGTTTAAATCTTTTGTATTTCTCTCACCACACTTTAAAATTGTCTCCATTAGATGGCAGGCTTGCATAATATTACTCTTGAAGCCCTCCTGGATCCTCCTTACTTGGAAGTTAAGAGTTCCCCACTGTTTTTCTATCCATGAGAATTGATAATCTTTATAAATACCTATCGATTTAAAAACAGCTGTACAAAATTCATACATAAAAATGGTGGATTAAAACACAGCTTCCTCACAAAGGCAATGCTGTTTCTTCTAGCACTCTATGAGATCACCTGTGTATCTCAGTCATGTGCACACATATACTTTCTCCTACAGCTTGATTCTCCATGGAAGTAGATCTTACTAAATTCAAAGGGACTGGTTTCCTAGGAAGCATACTTTAGGGCTGCAGTCTTGAAAAAAACCAAAACGGAATATGTTTGGCGAGAATAGATACCGTTGATTTATATTTTAGTTTACATATAGGAGACTTTCTTCCCATATCAGACGGGCTTTTGCATAATGAAAAATACAGAGATGGAACAAACACAGCCATGTAAACATCGTTATTATGAAACCTGAGACATGATTTTCCCCCCATCTGCACAAAATTCATCTCTTGGCAGGCTTCTCATGACTATGTGCCAGGACCTACTGGCCTGACCTGGATCCTTCCAATCCGGAATCCAGATTAATTTTCCAGAGAACATCCAGGAAATTCATACTCCAGATTATTTCTGGAGAGCATGTGGAGGGAGAGGGAGGCGCCACTCAATTATCACTAATTACCCTCTAATAGGCTTCCCCACCTCATCCAGTTCATGGTGTATTTGGACATGTTCCAGCCTCAACTCTGTAATTGTAAGACCTGCGGAAAAGTTAGAGAGCTAGATGCTCAGTGAATTTCAAGGAATTGTGGTTCTCTACATAGTTTTTTAAACTAACTAACTAAATAAATGTTTGTCTGTTCTTCCTATTCCGCCCCCACCCCTGCCCCAGTACATGGAGGAGGAATACCAACAACCAGCTATAAATTACCAATCAAAATCTTACAAAAATTCGAAGGGTTGGAATCCAACCAATTTCTCTGCCTTTGAAAAAGAGAAGAGGGGATCTCCCTTGCCCACAAAACAAAACAACGACAAAAAACCCTGTGCTGAGAATCTGGGGAACTGCATAGGCAAAAGGCCTGTGGAGTGGGGGCTGTAGGTAAGGAGAAGAATGAGACAAAACAGAGTGGAAAAGACAGATGGATGGACACAACCCAAGATATCACTGCTCTAGTCCAGAGGTCCCCAAGTGTTCCCTGGGGCATATGGAGGTGTTCAGACTGGTTCTTTCCACTGAAATGAATGGGGAAACAGTCACGGACCCAGCTGCACCAGCTAGGGTTGCCAGGTCTCTTCTTACCTGTGATGGGGGACTCCCAGCTCCTCGTTGGGATTTTTCTGGTAACCACAGAGTTCTCCCCCCCGAATGCTAGAATGTTGTCGTGGGACGGCCCCAGCATGATGATGTCACTACCGCTGACGTCATTACATCAGTGACACCAGCTGCTGTTTGGGAGCCGCCCCAACCGGGTGGCTGGCAGCAGACTGGGGACCCCAAAATCGAGAGATCCCCTGGCCCCACTGTGGGGATGGCAATCCTAGCACCAGCATTTTGGGGAAGACCAGGAGAAGAAATTATGGGCTGCTGGCAACACACTAACAGAGAGTGCCAAAATTCTGAACCTATCATTCCCATGTTTGCAGAAACACGCATGCATCCATCCACCCGCACTTCGGTAAACATAAGCAATGCCTCCTCACCTGGTCGGTGCATGTTTCTGCTCCTCCTCCTCATCGGTGTCACTGCTGATGGTGATAACACTCACGGCAGGACTGGGCGTGTCAGGAATGACTATCGTCTGTCGCTGCCGCTCCCGCGTGGTACTGGAAGCCCCATCACCCCACCCACACGTGACCGAGGTGCTGCAGGCAGGGCTGTTATGCACCATGGCACAGCGAGGCGGGGTGTTCTCCTTCACTCGCTTAGACCTCTGTGGGGAACTGATGGTCTGAGAGGAGGACACCTCGAAGCTGGACATGTTCCTGAAAAACAGGAAACGAGACACTCAAGGCATATGATTCCACTGTCGGGACGTAGTCTTTGCTTTCAGGACACTTTGTTTCAGGCAGGGTAGCCATGTTGGTCTGCAGTGAAAGAGCAAGATTCGAGTCCAGCAGCACCTTAAAGACCATTAAGATTTACAGAGTATAAACTTTCAAAAATCAAAGCTTCCTTTGCCTTGGAGGGAGCTTTGACTCTCGAAAGCTTACACCCTGGAAATCTTGTTGGTCTTTACGGTGCTACTGGAGTAGGCTCCTTTGTGTGTCCTTTTTGCTAATGGATTTTTTTAAAAAAATCATCTTTGCAGCACACCCATGTTTTTAATCTATTTTTTATTTAGAAAACACATTTGAGGCCAGGCTACTCCAGAGACCCACTCCAGGAAGATTTTAACCAGCAGGAGCCTACTCCGGCATTCCCTTTATTTTGTTTTATTTATTTTAGATTTGTATCCCTCCCTCCCCGCACAGCAGGCTCAGGGAGGGCTCCATCAATTACCACATACAAAAACTTAAAAAAAAACCCAACTACAATAAAAATACAACTAAATTCCTATGTGCTAATCGATGCCTCAAAAGATGAGGCTTTTCAGATTGGGGTTCCTAGGTGGTAAACGTAGATCTGAGCTGCTGAAGGGGAGGCCCAACAGAGGAGGGGGCACTCAGCTAAAAGCCTGGTGGAAGAGCTGTGTCTGAAAGGCCCTGCAGAACTGTAAAAGGTCCCACAGGGCCCGGATCTCATATCGGAACTCATTCCACCAAGTAGGGGCCAGGGCCGAAAAAGCCCTGGCCTTTGTCGAGGCAATACAGACGTCCCTGGGACCGGGGACAACCAGAAGATGCTGTACAATATTTAATTATGGAAAATATTGTCCTGCTAAATATTTATTTTAATTTAAAAATATTTATTTAAATAAATAAATATTTAAAATTAAAATAAGTAAATATTTAGCAGGACAATATTTTCCTTCTGGCCCCGTGTGCACTGCAAACACAGGGATGGGCTGAGCACAGAAGTAAAACCAAGGCTAACTTTGTCACAAGGCCACTTGAGAGTCTGGCGGGAGCTCCGCTCCTGTGCACTCCTGCAGGAAATGACCCCTGCCTACAGGACATGTCCTGCCAGCCGTGCTACTTGCAAAGATGGGTGGGGTAGCAAAGCGTTAACGAGGACTATTTCTCCTGGCTTCTCCACAGAATGTGGTGCTGGCAGTAGTGGTCTATATGCCACTGTACCATGGACTAGGGAGAAAGATAGGTTTGGAGGTAACTCATTAGTCATTTTTAATACTGAGCTTGAAAACATACAGTCAAGATTCAAAAAAGTCTCTGTCTTTCCGAAGTAGTCACTGAGTTAGGGCCAGCATATCACTGTGGGCGGCAGAATCCAGAACTAAGTTAAGAGTATTTGCTCTCCAGCTCAGGGTCCCTGAGTTCATTGGCTGTTTCTGGGAAGTGCAGCAGGCAGACTGTTCTGGTAGCTGGGAAAGGACAGAAGGCCAGGCACCTAGTATTCACTCCGGGCCTGTCTAATCCAGATGCTTTGTAATGCCTGGCCAATCCCAGGGCAGATGCTGCACACCCATATTCATGTCTGTGCCCGAATACAGCTTGGAGTCCAAAGTACAGAGTGCTGAGCCAAAGTCAGGGGGAGGGGACATTTCAGAATATTTTAGCCCCCTACTTCCCTGTAGCAAATACTGGAACCCCTTGGCAAAAAGTTACAAAACTGTCTGCAAAGGTACGGGGGGGGGGGGCGAGATGGAGAATGCCCCCGTTGCCGAAATGCACATGCCCCTGAAAATCACACAGTGGAAGAGGAGTGACATCCACATTCAGATTCACATGCAAATGCAAACATCATTCCTCTGCCCTGCATTATTTTCAAAGGGACGCACATCTCACCCAGAACACTGGGCCATTTGTCTTGGCAAACAAAAGGAGTCCTTCCTCCCACCCTCCAGGTGACCCCCCCCCTGCATAAAGGGGAAAAAGCAGAAGACTGGGGAAACAAATTATATGAAGTGGCATCAAGAAATTGTGTTAAAGCCCAGAAGGTAGGGGAATTTTTGCAAACATTTGAACACATCTGGGAATGTCAACTTTCACAGGGGGAAAAAAGGGGTTATTCATTAATCCCAGGTAGCTCACCTGGCTAGGTTTCAATCATAGACCATGAGGTTCAAAGTCCTGACAAAGGAAAGTTTATCAGGCAGCAGAAGCTTTTAGATGACACAGATGGAGAACTGGTAAGGGACATGGCTTGGATCCAACATAACAATATTTCAGGGAGCATTTGTGGCTTTTGCGGGAAGGGGAGAGGTGAGAGAGTTGCACTTGGTAGATGGGGAATCCTTCTGCCTCACAGAAGTGCTCCACTGGATCCAGACCCATCTTTGCAATATTTCTGGGTCAATCTTGATACAAAATCCAAGTCTGAGAGGTGGAAGAGATTCAGGAGAGCATTCAATCCCGCTCCTAGCTATTGCTCACAGCTCCACAGGTTGGCCTGTGCCCCAGTTTGAGAATCCAGGACTTTTCCATTGCTTTGGCCCCCATACTAGCTGAACATAACGTGAGTCAAAAGCAAGCAAAGTGTTAGCTCCAGTGACAGCATTCTACTGCCGGGCTTTGTCTGAATTTTCAGTTCAGTCTAAAAGCTAACAAAGGACTAGCTGGAATGTATCAAAGGGAGGGAATTACGGACATATCACACTGCACCGAGTCCTTTGCATAACAAATGACTGCGTAGTAGCATTTGTGATGCTTGTTGAATACCAATGAGGAATACGGAATATTCTCCTCTCCAACAGAAGCACACCACTCATTTGGATATAATAATGCAAAGCACACGCCACGGGACTTGCACATTCTGCAAGGGTCTCCTACTGTCTTGGGTAAATACTGCGCACTAGTGGGAAGGGGGATGTTCGGTATGCCAAAATGTGCTGGGAGAATCTGTTCTCCCATTTTATTGGCTGGCCAGACTGTCACAGCCTATGTTCTGCATTGCATGCAGGCAGAGGGAGCTGGGAATGGACCCAGAGTAAACAAAAGAAGGACAGTAGAGAAACAAGAAAGATTTCAGAACAGCAGTTCTGGGGCTGGTTGTAAATTCATCACAGGTCCTCTCTGGCCTGAGCCAGGATGGCCAAAGAAATGCATGCGTTTCCATTTTACAAAGTGCAGATCCATTTCGATTCCTCGTTGCCCTGCTATTTGAGGAACGCAGCAGCGTTCATTAAAGCTGATGTTTTGACAGATATGCCGATTAAATGCCACTCGCTAAAGAAGCACAGCATAGCGATGTGAATGGTTCAAACATCTGACCTGACAATGTGCCTCAACACCCACTTGGGAGGAGCCAGGATAGGGAGCCAGTTCATACCATGGCCAGACACTTTGCTTGTGCAATTACGCATTGTGACAGAACTTGGCTTTGGGTCTGCAGTGCAAAGTGTTAGAGAAAGGAGGTGGCCAACCCACTAATGATTTCTCCTTTCAGAAAGGAATTCCAGAGCACAGTTTGTCTGGGTTTGTTTTTTTTTGCACAGTGGCATACAATGGCTTGCAACCTTCCCCTCTTCAATATTGTCTTTTTGCGAGTATTCCATTTGGGGATCCCCCATGTGCACATTGATTCCCCTCTTGTAGGTATTCCTTTTGAGGAAAGATGACAAACGGGGGGAGTCTTTCCACACATCCAGTCCAAGCCCTCCTCGACACTTCTTCGCTTTAGCACAATATTCTTGCAAGTCAGTTCTCAATAGCTCAATATCCCACATCTGCACATACTGAACGGGAGATAGCCTGGAAAGCCAGAGAACAGCTGTGATATGGGGGATTTCAGAGCTTGCACCAATCCAACTTTCAAAAGTGAAAGGTGGCTTCCAGGGCAGGAGAGAAGGAACATATGCATGTGGGTTTTTTTTCAGGAAATGGTGTGGGGTTGAGGAAGAAAAGTTGCTTATGGGAAGGGTCTGTGGCTCAGTGGTGAAGTCTCTGCTTGGCAGGCAGAAGGTCCCAGTTAAAAGGATCAGGTAGGATGTGATGGGAAAGACCTCAGACCCTGGACAGCCACTGCCAGTCTAAGTAGATAAAACTGACCTAGATGGACCAATGGTCTGATTCACTGTAAGGCAGACTCATGTATCACTAACTCATCACTAATGTTACCCCAGTGCCAGTCCTCCGGTAAGAGCTTAAACCACACCACAGCCGCACTATGGCAAAAACAGACACCTTTCGAAAGAAATCCATTTTTCTCATGACAGGACAGCTTTTGATAGGTGTTGCAACAAATCTCTTGGGAATACCAAGATGTTCTCTGGAACAGAAGTCTGGCCCCCAATAACTGATAAAGACAAAGACCGTGGTGTCAAAGGGGACCAGATCCAGAGGCTCCCAGAGCTAGAAAGCCTACTCAAAAAAGTGGATGAACCCTTTCTACCATGCGTGCCTGACTGCTGGAGGAGGAGAAGACGAGTCAGGGGATGTTTTTATTACCTCCTCAGGCAAGGTATAAAGGAAGAGTGTTGGGCCAGCAGAACTGCACTCTCATTGAAGGTACCGTAATGCTAAGAGATCCTCCCCCATTTCACTTGGCCAGTGGAGGAGGATGAAGAAAGATTTGCCAGATATACTGGCTTGAATACTGGTGGGGGATTTTCAGAAAATGGTGTGGGGCTGAGGAAGAAAAGTTGCTTATGGGAAGGGGCTGTGGCTCAGTGGTGCTGAATGCCCAGGAGAGGCTCTACCCTCTGTATGCCAAGGAGAGGCTCTACCACTGAGCCACCAATAATACGAAGCTGTGCTATCACAATGCATGCAACCATCACAATTTGGATGAAGAATCTCTTTTTCCCACAGGCAAGATTGAAGACATCAGTGTAGCATTTTGTGGAACTGGAATCCACATCCTTCTTCCTGAGATGTTCCCTAAAGTTCTGTCCTATCCCTATGGCCACTCAAGCCTCTCACTCTAATTTGAAGTGTAGGAAGAACCAAGAACTAGGTGTCATAAGCGAAACAAGATTCACACATCTCAGCAAGATAATGGTAACTTCCAAACGCCATTAATTTGCAGTAATCTGTGTAATTCCTTGCTGCATTTGCGGCATTTGAATGTAATTTCAAGCACAAGGCATGAAGACTGTTTGCCATCCTACACCATCAGACAGTCTATATTTAACCCGATCCGTTCTGTATATATAGTCACCGAAGCAGAAACAATAGGCTTTTTAAAGTGGTTCAATATCCTCTAATTTTGCCAAGACATCACTTTAATGGATTTAAACAAGTCGAATTGCAGGGACTTCTGTTGGAGTAGCTTTCAAACTTCCTCAAGGGAAACAGAGCAGAACCTTTTACAATGCAGATGGAGCATGCTAATACTTTGATACAAGCTGCACCAGTGAAATTCTGGGTCACAGGGAAACAAACGCCTCAACCCCACTTATTCCCTGCCTGCTGTGTCCTTCCCTCCCCCGTGTCCCGTAGCAAACAAGCATCGAAGAAGGTGACCCAACAGCTGTAATTAAAAATGATAACAGGAATAGGCAGAGTAATGGGAAAGAGACACCCGAGTTCACACCACAACAGGCTTGCGGCAACAGAGGATTAGCGAACAACAGATGTTGTAAAAATTAAGGCACATACTTGCCATCAGAGCATGACTGACTACCCCTTATGCAAATTTGTTTTACAGATGTATCCAGAGTTTAGGAAGACTCTGCTCTTAGTTAATTTCTGCGAAACCAGACCTGCAACCATGAACCACAGAGTTGGAAGGGGCCATACAGGCCACCTAGACCAAACACCTGCTCAGTGCAGGATCAGCCTAAAGCATCCCTGATGGGTTTTCGTCCAGCCATGGCTTGAAGATTGCAAGTAAGGGGGAGCTCACCGCCTCCCTAGGCAGCTGAACTATTCTCACTATACAACATTTTACCCTAATATCCAACCGGTACCTTCCCGCCCTTAATTTAAACCCATTCATGCGAGTTCTATCCTCTGCTGCCACCAGGAACAGCTGTCTGCCCTCTTTTAAGTGCTAGCCAATCAGGGCTCCCTGTCAAGAGTACCCGTTTTCATTGGAAAATAATAAAAAAGTTAAAAAAAAGAAGAGTACCCGTGTTCATTTCTTTCACTCCTTTATTTACATCCCACCTTTCCTCCAAGGAGTTCAGGATTTTATACATGGAGGGGGTTATTCCATTTTTTAAAATCCATATGTTTGATATAGGCAAGAGGAGTGCATAAAACATGTGAAGAGAGCATCAAAGAATGCTCTCGGATTCAACAGGCAAGTAGTAGTCAAGACCACTTTGCTTCTGTTGTGGGGGAGCAGAAGTGAATGCAGATAAGGCAGCAGTCCCATACTTGATCCAGCCTCTCTCTCCCTCCAAAACAGTGGCGAAGGGCAGGGAGGAGGATAAAAGATGCCCTTTGCCTTCCATCCCCAGTGCGTACCTTGCGGATGACTGGTGCTGTTTATTCTTCCGAGAGGAGGTGGTGCTGGTCGGTTGTTGTCTCATGACATGAGCTACACCCACATTCAAGGGCTGGGCTGCTGGAAGGGTGACATGACTGGCTAAAAGTGCAGGCTGTTGCATGATGGGATTGTAATGGCTACCATGAGCATGAGTATTTCTGCAAGAAATAGGGGGGGAAAAACCAACAGCGTTTTGAAGGCACATTCTCCATTTGGCGATCACCACGCAGACATTAACAGTTTAAATTTCCGTGAGCCTTTCAGTGTTATCGAATACACGAACTGAAAGGAGTCATCATACAAGTTGCTTTTCTAATGGCTTGCTGTAAGAGATACGGGAAACAACGAGCCAAATGTAGCGCAATAGTGTGGCAGGGGGGGGGCAACGCGCACAAGCCTCCAGACAGGCCTTGGCAACACAGATCTGTTCCAGAATTTCCATCTGCATGGATATTTGTGCGCTTGCTGGTATGCCTATGCAAGCACGTTGCATCTGAAGGACGGAGCACTCCACACTTTAATCCCCCCGCTCCCAAGTCCAGGATCTTCTTTACACAGCACAAGAGCAAGCATGCAAACCTCCTGCCCCATTAAATGAGGAAAAGACGGGGTGCTTACCAGGAACTGATGTTCTCTGAGTGGTCACCTTTATAGTCATGATATTGGGTGGTGCACCTGTACAGAGTTCCGAGAACCATCTACATTTCCGTGGAGTGAGTTAACACTCCAGACCCTTCCTCTTGAGAGCAGTTGTGCCAACTGTGCATCCCTCAAGAGGAAGGGCAAACAGCTTTTCACCCAGTTTCTTTGCAACCTCTGCCAAAAGCGTCCATCAGAGTGGAGGGACGCATCCAAGAACCAGGGACAATGGGTTGCATGACTGCATAGCAAACCGCTCAAAAAGCATCCATGCAAGATAACAAACCTGTTTTTAATGCAGATACAAGCAGCGAGTGATGAAAAAGGGCCTGTTCTTGCTGGAAGTAGATCCAGGCATGGTGGAAGATAATGACTGCACCGTGCGTCCACTGAATTAATGCCAGATTTTTCTCTTGAAGGCCAACATAGCAAAGCAGCTTGACTAAAGTGTGGATCTGAGGAGGCAGGCTCTGTTCCACATTGGCTATAAGAAACTAGCTGCCTAGATAGAGGGACATTGTGATAGCTACATGAGGGAGGTGAGCCCTTCCTCCAAGGAGCTTAAGACAGCCTACAAAAGTCTCCCCTCTTCTGCTTTATCCTTACAACCATCCCGGGAGTTGGGTTAGGCTGAGAAAAGGCGAATGGCCCAAAATCACCCCGTAAACTTCATGACAGATTGAGGATTTGAATCTTGGTCGCCCAGTCCTAGTCTGAAACTTTGGCCACTACATCTCACTACCTGATCATTACATAGACAGGTACACTAACTGAACCTACATAGATAGGAGCACCAACTAAAAAGAACTTTCATCACATCTCAAAGTTCTTGAACGAACAAGTCGTCCTTGAAAGTAATTGCTTCAGAAGCCTGCAAGTGCTGTATATTTGTGGCGCGCATCACTTTAAAAAGTGTCTGGAGTCCTGATGGCTGGATTGCTTTGAATTATTGGACTTAATTGAGTATTTAATGAACCTTATTTCTGGGCTTTTGAATGTATAAACAGTTTGTGATTGGGGTTTTTTTTTTGAGAAACACAATGTTGTGAATGTTCTTCAGTAATTATTTCACGGTTATGTTTGTTTTCTGATTTAGCTATTTTCCCGTAGTAATAAGACAGAGTCAGGGAGCGTAAGGAAGAAAGAGCCTTCACTTTCTTCCAAAGGGAGGGTGAGCAAGACAGACAGGAAGGTGATGCTGGCGAAAATGGTACTGGGCGCAGGCTACCACTCTAGCCATGACTCCAGCAGCCGCGGTCTGAGCCGAGTGCTCCCTGCAGTGCTGACACCGCCTGCGTGGGCGGCTTGGCTCTGCCTGGATCAGGGCTGTTCTGATGTCCCCGTCCGGCCCTGCAGCGAAGCAATCAGAAGGGCCCAAGGCAAAGTTGCATTTGGCTAAAAGAGATTTCCTCACACCCGTCCGAGTGCTAGAATACCCAGGGGTGAAACCTGTGGTCTCCCTCCAGTGCTGTTGATAATGAATGACTGTCTGTCGAATGCAAGATGATAACCCGTACAAAATACTGGGCGAACAATGGAGCCAGTGTGCAGTGTCTCTTAGCTCACAGCCACAGTTTGCAGCATTAGGAAATGCCCGGGTATCTCAGAGGCTATCTCAGAGCAAGCACCTCACACATACAGACGGGCTTCCCTGCTTACCTCCAGTCTGTCAGCGGCTGGGCCCCTGCCATGGTCTCGGGGATGACGGTAGCATGCTGGACTGAGGGGTGGGTGGCGACTCCAGTCAGCTGCTGCCAAGCAGGAGGGAGCAGGATTTGCTGGGTACCGCTGGGCCAGGCTTGCTGTTGATCAGAGCAGAAAATTGTTCTCGGTTAAAAAAAAGAATCACGCGATGTTGCGCCGATCCCGTTCTAGGCCTGGCCTCTGGTTAGAAACAGCGGAAGCATCCCAAATAAAGCCAACAGCTGCAGCTCCATCAGTTACGGAAAGGTAAACTTACAAGGAAACCAACCAACTTTAAAAAAGCCAACCCAACCTGAAGCCAGTGTTGCTGAAAGGCAACTGTCAAGACAAACATGCCTGTGCAAGCACAGTCCTTATAGCTTGGCAGCTCCATTCTCAGCAACAGGACTTGCTGCTGCCTAGCAGGACTCCGACCCCATTCCCGTTTCTTTGAAGACAGGACCCACTGAACTCAGTTTCCTTCTGGGTACAGACACCTAGGACTAGGCTTACTATCAGCTTCAGTTCCTATGATATGGTTTGCCACTACATGAAATAAGTTGGGGGATCCCTGGGTCACATGCTTCTTACTACACCTTCCTTCTCCCTACATGTGAAGTGATCTAATAAATTATTTCCATGTTCATCTCACATCCACAGCGCTAAACTGTGGTTTGCACTTTCCCCGTAACCCTGGATTGTAAACAGGGGAGGGCAGGGGAGGGCGGAACACATACATCCACAGATCCCCCCCCACACTTTCATTCATTTAACAGACACTATAAGTTGCTGAGCTGTAGTGTGCATTAGACATACGAACATAAGAACATAAGAACATAAGAGAAGCCAATGTTGGATCAGGCCAATGGCCCATCCAGTCCAACACTCTGTCACAGAGTGGCCAAAAATACCAGGCGCCATCAGGAGTTCCAGCAGTGGGGCCAGGACACTAGGAGCCCTCCCACTGTTGTCCCCCCCAAGCACCAAGAAGACAGAGCATCACTTGCCCCAGACTGAGAGTCCCTATCTATCTATACCTTGTGGCTAATAGCCACCGATGGACCTCTGCTCCATATGCTTATCTAACTCCCTCTTGAAGCCGTCCATGCTTGTAGCTGCCACCACCTTCTGTGGCAGTGAATTCCAAGTGTTAATCACTCTTTGGGTGAAGAAGTACTTCCTTTTATTCATTCTAACCCGACCACTCAGCAATTTCATGGAGTGCCCACGAGTTCTTGTACTGTGAGAAAGGGAGAAAAGTACCTCTTTCTCTGCCCGCTCTATCCCATGCATAACCTTATAAACCTCGATCATGTCACCCCTCAGTCGTCTTTTCCCCAAGTTAAAGAGCCCTAAGCGCCTTAACCTTTCCTCATAGGGAAAGTGTTCCAACCCTTTTATCGTTCTAGCTAAGACTGTAGTCATGCAGCCTGATCTTATCCACATTTGCTCAAAAGTAAAACTACGTTATGTTCAATCGGACCCTTCCAGGTAAATGTGCATGGCGATGACTCATTAAGGACACTTCCTTGGGAGAACGCACCAAAGAACTCAGACTGACTTTCTATGTTCAAGTGTGCTGAAGATGACAGCTCTGTGCAGCCTGATTCTAGAAATGTTTACTGGAAAGAAATCCGTGGAGTTCAAGGTGGATTCCCAAGGAAGTATGCACAGGAACAAGTGGCAAATCCTCTTGGGGTGGGCTACAGTAAGGGAAAGGACTGTGGGAGGGGAATATCTGCCTTTTGCATGCAGGTCTCAGGTTTAATCCCCAGCACCTCCAGCTAAAAAGATCAGGTAGCTGGTTATATGAAAGATCTGCTGCCAGAAGGCAACACTGACCTTGGTAGACCAAAGGCCTGATTCAGTATAAGGCAGCTTCATGTACTGAAACCCTACATTCAGTGTGGGATTTCCTTCTGAGTAAATACACAGTAAATCAGGCTACAGTGCTTCTAAAATACACATTACTGAATTATCATTAAGAAATAAGGAAAGCACACAGCTACCCAGAAGTATAAAACAGCTAGCTTTATCAAAACAGGATGTGGCTCTTTCTTTAATCCTTTCCTCTGCCATTTTTCGAAATGGTGCTAGGCTCTGCGAAGGCTTTCACACTTGTCCTCTGTGTGTTTTGCAGCTATGCTGCTGTGCAAGCATCATTCTGCTCACCCCACTTCCAGAGACATGCGTAAGTGTCATCTTGCTCAGATGATTCAATTTTTTGAGTCATATAATATTTTACAAGTGGGTCACATTTGGATTCCCCCCCCCCACATGACACAACCAGGCAACTTAATCCCCTTCAGATTTAAGAACTGTGTGTGCTAAGAGAATTGCTTGCTCCGAAAATCCAAGGATGGCAGCTTAATACCCAAGGGCTGTGAGCAATTCTGAACTAAAACAGTCTAAATGTGGCACAGAGGAACTTCACATTTTGGACTCAAAACCGGGCATGCTCACTCTAAACATTACCTGCTTCACAGACTCAGGTGTGTAAAGGATTTGGGCTTTTCCTAGGGTTTCAGCATACAAAGGGTAGTCAAGAGAAGTCAAGACAGAGGCCTGTCAGGACAACAACCATGGAGCAGCCCATCCAATTATTCTTGAACACTTCCTGATTTGGCTCACATTCTGATTACTGATCGCAAGCAGGGAGCCGATGGTTCACAAGCTTTTCACAAGAATGGGCTCACAAGCAGACACCAAAGGCACATTAACCACACGGTTCTAAACAGAGTTACACCCTTCTGAGCCAGATGTAGTCTTCTTTAGGATTGCACTGCAAGACACTTAAGTAGTAGGTCTCAACTAAAAAATCAAAACCTTTTTCCCTTTTATTTTTAATATCGGTTTTCTAAAAATTGGAGGAGATGGTGGTGACAGCAGTAGACAAATGGAAGTGGGAGTGGCAGCTGAAGTCAGAAAGCCATCTAATCATGTGAGAAAGCAGAGTGTAATCCTACAATGGACATATTGAGATTTGTTGTCGAAGGCTTTCACAGCCGGAGTTCATTAGTTGTTGTAGATTTTCTGAGCTGTATACAGCCCAGAAAATCTACAACTAATATCGAGATTGTGATGATTTCTTGCAATCACGTCTCAAAACGCTGCTGATTGTACAGGCACACACATAAAGACAAACAACACCAACAGGCAGTGCAATCTATCTAGTGCTGAGAGGGGTAGCCATGTTAGTCTGCCTGTAACAGTAGAAAAGAGCAAGAGTCCAGTAGCACCTTAAAGACTAACAAAATATGTGGCAGGGGATGAGCTTTTGTGAGTCACTGCTCACTTCTTCAGATCCGAAAGCTCTTCCCCTGCCACATATTTTGTTAGTCTTTAAGATGCTACTGGACTCTTGCTCTTTTCTGTCTAACGTTGGTAATCTAAAGGATGCATTTGATGGCACAGAGGCAAAAATGATAAAGAATGTCATGCCTTATAGAATTCTGTCAATTTAATGGCCATGACCCTAGAGGATAATAACTCTTACCTCATTAACGGGATGGTACAGTTCTTGAACAGGGCAAAAACAGCTGAAAGCTGAAATGAACAAGCAGCTCTTGTGCAAGTGTGAAGCTGTTCGGCGCTGTGCTATGCTCGAGACAAACTTCACCAGAGATCACGGGGGCAATATTATAAGGTATGTTTGCCTGGTATGCATGTTCACCTTGAATCTCTCAACACACCTATTCCCATCCCTTTAAAATAGTTCCTACATGACGCACATTTTCTCTCAGGTTAACCACAAAGAGACAAGTAGGGGGCCTAGAAGTCCACAGGCCATATCCCTTGTCCCCTCTACTTCTGAACCCTATATAAAAGGCATTCAGTCCATATAAGATGTTGCAGAAATCTGCCATCGCAGCCACAAAAAAAGCTGGACATGCAAAGAGGACACAGGAGCTCTGCTGAAGTCCCTAGTGCACGATCTTGCACTTTCATTCTCTCTCTCAGTCAGCGTTTCCTAGATCTGCATCAGGAAAGGCAGGCCTTAAACTGGACAGCAGACACTTGAGGCCACTGACTTATATATAGCCAAGGATGGGAAACAAACAAAGCCCTTTTGGGTGGAAACTTGGAAAGTGGCATCAAGTCACAGCTGATGGCAACCCCGTAGGGTTTTCAAGGCATGAGGCGAACAGAAGTGGTTTGCCTTTGCCTGTCTCTGCATAGCAACCCTGGTCTTCTCTGGTGGTCTCTGACCCTGCTTAGCTTCCGTGATCTGGCTAGCCTGGGCCATCCGGGTTAGCCATGGAGAAAAACAGAGCAAGAACTTTCAATTGGATTGGTCAAACACAGCTAGGGTTGCCAGTCCCCAGGTCCCAGTGGGGGTCCCCTGCTCTTGGGGGCTACAATGCACTGCCAGCCAGCTGGCTGGTGGGGGAAACCACACCCCCAAATAGGTATGCTGTTGGGTGGTGTCCCCAGCACAACGGAACTGATGGCATCATGTTGGTTTTGGGGCAAACTCTATGGTTTTGAAGCAAAAAACACAGTGTGTTGTATGCAACATCACCAACATGATGGCATCACTTCTGGGTGAAGTCATCCTGTTGGGACCTCACCCAACGGTGTCCCACCAACCCTCAGAAAACCCCCAAATCCTCTCACTATGACGGCAAGGGGACCTAGCAACCCTAAACCCAGAAGTGGTAAATTGCTCATTGCATAAAAAAAAAAAAAGGATCCGTTCTGGATTCTGTTCCCCAGTTTCCATGTTCTGCTGTCTATCCTGTCCTCAATTTGAAAAAAAACCCTTAACTTTGCCATACTTGTAGTTCATTGAAACCTGAGCTTGAGGAGCAGAGCAGAGGAAAATATGCAAAGTAAATCTAGGTATGATGTATTTAGAGCACAATAATTGTAGGTACCTCAGGTATTTGTTAATTTGGTGCGCTTTCTAAAAAGAAATACACCTCACTCCTGACCATCCAAAACCCCTAATAGGCTCTGTTTCTTAAGAAACGGCTGCTATGTTTGCAAACAGTGGAACCAGAGCCCTCTTTCACCTGTCTTGGGCAGACAGGCAAATTGATATACTTGTTTGGAAGATGAGGGGAGAACACACCCTTCAAGGGTTGGACATGAGGGTTGGGTTTTTGCCATCGGCTCT